TAGGATTACGTTGATAAGGACTGAATAACGTGGGGGGGGGGAAATCTACCGTGAAGGAAACTACTTATACGGTTGCTGAAAATTATTCGACAACCCACGACCGGCCCGCCCTTCTTGGGGTTCATCCAGAATTTCCGTTAACTTCATTTTCTACTTGAACCCAAACTACATAAAATTCGGCAGATGCACTCTACTGCATACTACCTGGTTTTAACTGGAGATTCATCTGAATCCCAGCTAATCATAAACGAGAGATCCACGTGAGTCTCCCGTGAAAACCTAATTGGCGTGCAGATAAATGAAGGTCGAACTTCGTGCTATTCGGGTTCAATTAAAACATAAGGTTGAGACTCGGAGATTGCACACCGAGAAGGACGAAACCGATTGTGGACAGTCGAACAGTCTTCATCCACCTTACGAGTAGTGCAATACGTCTATGCAATGTATGGCGATATCCCAAACTGAAACATGAGGTGGCCTTGGTGCAGCACATTCAGTTGGAGGATATCATAAATGAGATTCAGCTAGGATTCAGGTTCAAATCAGTATGAGTGTAGTTGCCGGAACATCTATCGCCTTAAAGGCCGCCTCTCCAGACTGCCAGCGTGCCCTTCATGAGTATTCATTTATTGAAACACGCAGCCTATCTCTAAGACGGAACCTTGAATGATGCAACAGTGGAAAGCGCATGGCAGCCTGCGATGAGACGATCGATCAAAGCATAGTGCATGTTTCAAGCGATCGATCAAAGCATGGTGTATGTTTCAAGGTCGCAGAACGCTTTTAGGGGAGTAATATCCCCTCTGCGTTACAAAGACAAGCCGCCTGTGTTCCCCCAGCTAATAGCATGCGGTTTTAATTAACCCAGTGACCACTTCTGAGGGGGCCACTTTGTCCGTAAGCGAATTCAAGGCCATCCAATTGATACCAGTAATCCATCAGATTTCAGTCACTTGACCGCGGAAGACGTACAGGACTATAGTGTACCAACAAAAAGAATCAACGAAGATATGGTTCCCGCTACCTCACGACCAATACTAGCATTGGCTATCTGGAAACACCTTTGGAGTTCCTCACCCTCCGAAAAGCCAGTTCAGTGAAAAAATAAAATGAACGAGAGCGTTTCGTTTGTGTTTTGGAGCTCTTCAGTCTTATAGTGGTATAGTGGATTTCAGTCCAGTATATACATACGTATATAAAAAGCAAATTGCATATGTTTGGTAGTGCACTATCTAAAAGTTCAATGATTCATATCCAGAGCATCCATACGAAAAAAAATGTCGGATAAGGTTGCCAACTGAGCGTGAAAAGTTCTTAGGCAACCCCAATAGGTTCTGCAAACCTGCTAATTGGTATAATTAGCCAGCCGAGAAAATCTGTTTGCAGTAGGACATGGCAAACAGTTGAACCTGTCAAAGACGTTCTTCCATATTCACTTGTGTGAATAGGGAGCAGCAGGGAAACAGTGGTCGACTTACTTGGTAACAGGGGAAGCTGGCCCCGAGATGCAACTGAGTAATTTGGATTTCACTCAGCAGGTGAATTCGGCTTACACCTAAACGCCGGGAAGCACAGCTGTACCACCCTTGTTGGGAATCATCAACAGTGTGTACGTCACGGAAATTCCCACCACCCGTGGACTTCTGGCTAGTGGGTGAACAAGTAACATTCCATTCGGTCCCGAGTGATTGGTCAGTGATGCACTTGGATGGGAGGTAATGCCATCCCCCCTTAATCATACAGCTAACACTTGAATTGTAGGGCTAAGGAAATTTTGAAGTTCAATAAACCTAAGTGCCAAGTGATCTGCGTATGCCTCCAATTTGGGAATTCGTCACTTGACGAGCCAGTAAACACCAGATCACGATAGGTGGACCGCATGAAAGACTAAAAGATCGTGGTGCTGTATTATGTGTAAATGCATACTGGACGCACCACGAAACGACCGCCCATGGCTAAACAGTATAGGGGGTTCCAACACTAACCGGAAGGTTGCGGGTTCGAACCACACCACTGGTTTGTGTGCTCCAAAGTGTTGGTCATTCCCAACCACTAACAGGCTACGTTGAGCCGAGTTCATGAACGAGTCCACACGAAGGATGCGCGAACTCAGCCCGAAATGCGCTGCTTCCGGAATTGTTCGTCCAAAAAGGACGGTTGGGGTTTTCAATGCAGGTATGAATTCAGCACCATCCAATTATTACCAGCAATCCATCAGATATCAGCCAATTGACTGGGGAAAACATACAGAATCCGATCGGTTTCACACTCCAATATCGTTGCCCTACAGTGTTGTCTCAGTTGCTTGAGGAATAGTCATCAGGCCAGTATTCGCGGCTAGGAGACGATCTGATCACTGGAAGTGATGACAAATACGGTAGTTTAGTTACGTTCAGTGACTGCTGGTTTGTGTAATGAGACTGGCGAATAACATTCAAACGTCTTTTCACCGACCAAATAAACGTCGACAGGGCGAAGATGAAGTCCCCCCACAGCCGCTGACACAGAGTCTGTGATGCTGCTGCAAAGCATAATTAGGACGAGATCTTAGGAAAGCGAGTTCTCTCACCAGAGCGTACAAATTTGTTGGTTCCTCAAAAATTGTAACAATCGTTGTCCGCAACAGTGCTTCTTCTCCCTTTCTTGACCATATAAATCTCAAGATGCATCGACAAAAATCTAACGGTGTCTCAACATCCAAAGACTTTCCAACATTGTGACGTAAAACCCGAAGCGTTCTATGCTCCTCGGAAATTCCTTACATCCTTAGCAAAGTTTCCCAGCGCTTTATCTTAGAGTTCATATCGAAGTACCGCACACAAAAGACCGGGAGGCTTCAACATGAAAAAAAACTAAACTCCAACGAACCGCAGATACGTTATTTTATACAGCTGCTTTGTTTATGTTTTCACCACAGCTGCATAGCCGGGAGTGCACTGCACCTACACAGTCCACAGGTGTACAGAAACCTGAAAACTAAATTTCACAGCGACACTCAGGCTGCGAACAGTCGCAATCAAACCGATTTGCTTCAAGATAACTAGCTGGATGAACTGATAACACTGCATAGGTTGAGCTGACTTGGCCACGTGCTGCGTATGCCAGTCGACCGACTTACTCGAAGGGCTCTTTCCGCACAACCACGTGAAGGGTGGAAGAGAGCCAGAGGCGGTCAAACAATGACTTGGCAGCGAAGTATGAAAGCCATTACCAGCAAACTCAGCTGCGCTGGTCACTGCAGCCTTCCTGGATGCGCCCTCCAATGACGCTCGTGCATCCAAGCTGTTGCGTTCAGTGCATAGCTCCTTTTCCACCCCCCCCCACTTGACAGCCCACTTACAGTGCTGGATTTATGCATCAATTCATCATCTCCCGCCTGCAATGCGCAGCTACCTACCACCCCCCAAACATCGGTGAACGAAACTGCGGCAGCTACAAACTGCACGACGAGTACGCGGTTATTACAACTGACAAGGATGATGGTGATGATAACTAGCTGGCTTTAGCGGTCAAAATGAACTTGAGAAATATCTGAAACACAATCCTGTGAGACATCGTTGAAGAAACCACTCCCTTAAAGAGCCAGAAACTGTCATTCACAATCACAACTTGGTGAGAACGTTCCGAAAATTGGCCATCTTACAGAAGAAGTAAAAGCCTGTACCAATAGGTGGTTGCTTTTATCGAAATGGTTGATCTATCTAGAGATTCGGGTCACGGAGAGTAGCCGTGAAGATCCAATATTGGAACGTACTGCCAAAAACAGATGGGTTATCTTACTGAGGCAGATGAGTGAGCTAACTGAATAGACAATAATCGTCTCCAAAGGCGATATAATTGGTAAGTAAATAGCCTGATATGTTACAGGTAGATGCGTTGCTTTACAATTTACTAACTGGGTTTCTCTTCATTTTGATTCAACGTTTCGGAACACCACTCTGCAATCCTGCGACAGCACTTTGGAAGGGGGCAAGACGCAGGTAACTGTTTTTAGGCCAAGGAATACCAAGAACCAGAAGACCAATGAAGTAAAACCTAGTTGGGCAACCCATAAAAATTTGGTGAGAATCAAGGTACCCGGACGAAGTGGACAAAGAACACAACAAAACCGCACCGAATCAAAGATTTCCTCTCAATGAGACAGCGAATTGCCAACACGAGAGTTCGTTTTACTAATAACCCTCTGCCATAAATCGTGATTCGCAGACACTAGGTGCGTGGATTCAAGCTGCTGATTCGCTGATACGAAGCTGGATTTTGATAGTGTTGCAGAGGCGAACCAGCGGTATAACACTCGTCACGGTTCAAACCGATCTACTTCAGTGGCCGAGCAAATCGTCAGCCAAACAGAAATGGTTGTGTGCATTGGCGCTCACGAGTCAGAGTTCAGGTACGAAATGCTTTGCATTCAACTTGATTTTTATAACTCGAGGCACACCTGATCGCTTGTTTATTGTGGTATGCTCAATGTGATGAAGCCAGCTTGTGAGCAAACAATCACTTGGATAGGAAACAACGATTGTATTGATAAGCGAAAACGCCACCACTCTAACTGGGCTAGTAAACATGTACACGGACGGCTGTGAGGAACGGAACCTGGAAAGAGATGTGTCCTATTTTTCGGTGGCAGGCTATTGGTATCAAAACACATGGTTCGCTAATACGGAGCATTGTAAAGTAGCGGGAGGCGAGATGGACCAAGTCGTTAGAGCTCGAATTTACTGACCGGAAGGTTCGTGGTTCGAACCCGAATTCTGCCTCTCGACTTCCTCTGTCTAGGCTTGGGCGACCTGGCAGTATCCCAGCCCTCGTGCCTCCTTCGTGTGGCACAGCAGTTAGGCACCGAAAGGGTGTTACAGCTGAACGATTGTAAAGTAGCTGTGACCCATCATATCCCACACTCGTACTGACTTGAAGTAAGGTAATCACGGACTTTCGGAGTTCAGCGGGGTACGAAGACGCTTTCAAAGCAAGACAAAGCAAGTTCCATACTGACCGATTTATGATGAATGCATTATTCGACGGGATTTCACCACAGAAGCGTTGTCGATTGGTGGCAGACTATACGTATCGAATCGCAAGTCAATGAGCGAAAGGACGTGATGAATTGTTGAACAACTGTTTCGGGTGATGGCAACAGGGGCTAGCTAGCTAGCTATATTGTACCAAGCGATCAAAAATGGAAATTCTTGCTTTAGAGATAACTTGGGTAAAGTAGCTGTGACCCATTATATCCCACATCCGTACTGACTTGAAGTAAGGAAATCACGGACTTTCGGAGTTCAGTAGGGTACGAAGACGCTTCTAAAGCAAGACAAAGCAAGTTCCATACTGACCGATTTATGATGAATGCATTATTCGACGGGATTTCACCACAGAAGCGTTGTCGATTGGTGGCAGACTATACGTATCGAATCGCAAGTCAATGAGCGAAAGGACGTGATGAATTGTTGAACAACTGTTTCGGGTGATGGCAACAGGGGCTAGCTAGCTAGCTATATTGTACCAAGCGATCAAAAATGGAAATTCTTGCTTTAGAGATAACTTGGGTTGTCTATTGCAAAGGAGCATGGTTCGAGAACATTTCCTAAATGTATGAAGACCGACTTGTGTACAGGTCGCTCATTTGCCACTTATTCGTGTTGCACACGAATACTCAAAGTGATGCCTCTTAAGCCTGAGAATAACAGTTCAGTGAGGCACTAAGAACACTGAACTAGTCCTCGTTAAAGGACAACGAGCCTGGAAGATATGACTTCGGAAATTCGCAGCTTAAGAATTCTTTCTGGCTGACAGTAATTGACAGGCTACCTACTACAGGTTCGTTTCCTACAGGTGGCCCTATTTTGCTGACCCCTACTCAGTAAAGCTTGCTTTCTAGAATACAAATACTTCAGCCGACTTAACAGGATAAAAGACGACTAAGTATCAGGCATAGCTTGTCGGCGGTGATTCAAGTTACAGGTGCACATTAGACGGGAAACAGCCCACTTACTTAGCCCATTAACGTCCGTGGAATGAATCAGGATGGTCGCATATTAGATGATGCACAGGAAAACCGAATAGTTGTAACCTGATGAAGGACTGCCCACAGCATGCTGCATGCTCAAACCGACACACACACACACACCTGACGAAGTTTCAATCACACCAAAACAGGAAGAACTCGAGCAGACCAACTTGGCACAAACGATGCAATCCACTTTGCCAGAGATCCGGTGGTCTTCCACTTATACAAAAGTTTGTTTTCTTGAATTTCGCAAAAATAAGTGAAGCAGGGGAACGTAATGCGGAGGCGTTTGATTTTACTGAGATATGGTTGATAGATCACGTAACCCAATAAACCCTTTAATAGAGCTTGTGCTACAAAAGTGCACTTTTGCAACGAAAATAAACAGCAACTCTAATGGAACTGTTAGCGTTGTTCCCAGCAAGTCAAGGCTGAGCAATGTGGTCCATAGTGCAGAGATTTTGTAACCTGGCTTACCCGATCCAGAATGCAATGAAGGTACAGCTGATTCCGCAAAAATGATAATAAAGACAGGCTGGGTGTGCTCTTATTAACATGTAGATCACGTGACAAGCGTAGAAGGGGCCAAAACAGCTGACTCTTTTAACAGCTTAACGTGCAATCTCGCAATACCACAACGGAATTCACCTCAGAATAGGTCAGCAACATAAAAGCAGGAGAGTCAATGTTGGCTAGATACACAAAAGCAGGGAAGGCATACTACTACAGAAGCAAATTTATTTTGCAAAAACGCAGAGACACATGATGCATGCGAATAAAATTGAACAGAAGCATAGGTAGACTGAAAGTACCGTTGAGAGGAGCAAGCGATAAAAGCTACAAGTTACATTAGCAGACGGATCGGGGAATAAGCACGTAAGTGAAAAAGGGAAATATACTGAAAGGACTGGCGCGTTCATTAAGCCGTACATATACATATTTTATACACGGCGTTGTACGGCGGAAAGCAACATAAGAGTACGCAGTGCAGGTAACATTGTGTAGAAGCGAAAAACAACGCTAACCGAACTCCCCGAGGCCGGAAACCTAATGATTCTCGTTTAGGGATCTACAATGCGAGGTAAGTGCGCTTCAGTAGGCTGTTTCTTCGTAGGTTGGATTGATCACTTTTGTCGTAGGTGACTCGAAAATAGGGTTTTCGGCCATTTCCCAACGCATATTCTCACCCTGCTGTTCAAATTTGGCCAACTCACGCCGGTCATCAATGGTGATAACCAGTTTGTAGATCAGTAGTAGGATGAGACCGCCAAGCACGATTCCGGCAATAACGCCGAGGACAATGTAGAGGATGTTGATTGTCTTCACACATTCGCTTTTGCGCATGATGTTCAGGTCCACCTTGGGTGCGGAAAAGGTAGCAGAAAAACAAACTATGAGTGACTCGATTAGGCACGTCTCGAAACGAACACAAATTGGTCATAAGTAAGCGATAATTTGAGTCAAATCTCATCTTTACGTCTCGAGGGGGCCTGTCTAATGTCAGTTTGTACACGTGTGAATAGTTTCGGGGCTGTCATGCACGCCAGCCCCAGATTAGAGTCATCAACGAAAAAGTGTTTGGCGTCTCCTGGGTGGAATCGCGCATGAAAGGCTGACTGACGGGTGCCGTTGTAGGCTATCCTGGAGAGTGCAATCTCAGAGGATCACTGTCTCTGAGTAGTATCGGGCTGTGCGTTACAAGCCTGATGTGTTAGTAGCAAAATTCTATTGTTAAGGCAATATATGGGAGGAGCCCCATGGCGCGGCGAGAAATCCAGTTAGATAGCAACTCCACAGATCCACAGCCTGATTGTCAACAATATAACTACCGTTTTCCTTGCTATAGAGAGTAATATTGTGCTTCAGATAAGGTCCACATATAGATGCTGGGCCGGTCCTCTCACCTTCCGGCTTCTTATTAGAACTTCAAAGTTAGTGAGGACATTGATGAGCGGATGAAGACGCAGTGTCACGACCAGATGACAGGAGCGCGAAGTTGAAAAAGGTCGAAACACTGTGTGAAGTGCGGAACGTAAGCACCAATATGAGAGGCTGACTACAGACAGAACTTTGTGCACTGACGCCGGTGCATAACTAACACTAGCGAGGAATCGTTTGTTTGCCGATAATCTGGCGGACTTTCAAGGAAGATAGACAACAAAGGTGGGTTTTCTCTAACTGCAAACTGAACCCCGTAAAGCAGGGATACGAGAAAATCTAACGAAATTACAAAATTACATTGGCTCATAGCTACAAAAGACGACTCGGAATGAAAGAACAAGTACAAAACGCACCTTCCTAGTGACATAGATTGCATCCGAATACCGATAGGTGAAGAACACGCGGCAGTTGTCATCGGTGTAGATGATGCACAAGTTGGAATCATCTTTTTGCTCGCTGTTTTCAATCAGTTTGACGCGCGCCGTATCGATTACGGTACCATTACAAGCCGTATTACACGTTGCTGCAGCCGTTGCATATTCCGGAGAAGCATAGACCAATTCGTCCACAGGTTGGACCAGCGTTACCGGCGGCTTAGTCACCAGGGCCGAGCCGACACCTGCTTCACTGACTCCATCTTCATCATAACCCTCGAAAGCTTTGATCAAGGAGTCTCGGAGACAGAGCACGCATTTCTCAACTTCACGATCGGTGCACAACGCCGACTGACCGCCCTGGATCTCGTTACATAAGTGTCCAGTATACCCACTGTTACAAAAGCACTGGCCGCAGTCACAAACTCCTCGACCGGAACATTTTGGGCCCTGAAAAAAGAGGGTCAGGAAGAGTAATCAGAAGAAAGTCCATACACACTTGTGCATGCCGTTAATCAATGAATCGATTGTATAAGGCCACATTCTTCCATCTTGCCCTCTAGTATACTTGTGCAAGCATTCACCGGTGCTTGCATTTCGGTGCCTAGCTGTCAGGCTACCCAAAGGAAGCACGACGGCTGGGATACTGCCAGGTTGCCCAAGTCTAGACAGGGGAAGTCGAGAGGCAGAGGTCGGGTTCGAACCACGGACCTTCCGGTCAGTAAATTCGCGCTCTAACCACTTGGTCCATCTCGCCCCATCATCACATGTTAGTGGTTGACTTCCGGAAACGCGGTTACCTCACAAAGCACAGCGTCTAATTTATCCTGATTGTCGCCAGAGAGATCACTGTTCTTCCCACTGTTCGCAACTTCAGTGGGCACCAATGACTTTCTATGATTGCGATAAATTCAAACATTTCTCTTTTGACAACTGTAGGTTCTACGTCAAAAGCTGGTGGGACGGAGTACAGCTTTTCAACAAACTAGCAAACTACTTTCAGTCTGATCCTCAACTAAATATACTTGGTTAAAAGGCTAAAAAAAGTACATCTGATCTCATCATCATCAACCCATCATCATATGTTAATGGTTGACTTCCGGAAACGCGGTCGCCTCACAAAGCACTGCGTCTAATTTATCCTGCTTGTCGCCAGATAGGTCAGTGTTCCTCCCACTGTTCGCAACTTCAGTGGGCACAATGGGCATCAATGACTTTCAATGATTGCAATAAATTCAAACATTTCTCTTTTGACAAATGTACGTTCTACGTCAAAAGCTGGTGGGACGGAGTACAGCTTTTCAACAAACTAGCAAACTACTTTCAGTCTGATCCTCAACTAAATATACTTGGTTAAAAGGCTAAAAAAAGTACATCTGATCTCATCATCATCAACAACAACATCATTATCATCGACAGCATGACATCAGTGTTCAACACCGATGCTTCACT